CTAGTATTATTAAATGAAGTGAATTCTGACATTTCTTCATTATTTTGTTAGATTTTCAAATTTCTCACGACTCCGTCGATCTATCGCATATTGTTTGCGATTCATAAACAATATTAGGAATTCATCAAAAAGATTTTCAGGACCCCTTTCCGTATCGGAAATTTCAAATTCTACGCAAGTTATTTTGAAGTGTGTTAAAAATGAATATTTTTCAGTAGAAATTCACATACTAAAAAATAATAAGTCACTTGACAAAAATAGTTCCATATTATCACTCAATCCCTACTTAGATGACAAAAAGATTTTACGTGTAGGCGGAAGACTATCTAACACTCACATTCCTTTTGAGCAAAAACACCCGATTTTATTACCCACAAAATCGCACGTTGTTCAATTGCTGATTAAATATGAGCATAACAAACTCCATCATGCAGGTGCACAAACATTACTGGCCAACTTGCGATTGAAATATTGGCCAATTAATGGTCTAAGACAAATTAAGAAGATAATTAAGAATTGCATCGTATGTCATAGACTCAGAGCTTCAGTATCAGAGCAATTAATGGGTAATTTACCGACTGAAAGAGTAAATGTGACTAGACCTTTTCAAATGACTGGCATCGATTTTGGAGGTCCTATTTTAATAAGAGAAACAAAACTTCGTAAAACTACCACTTCCAAAGCATATATTGCTCTTTTTGTTTGCATGACTACGAAAGCTATTCACTTGGAACTAAGTAGTTTCTGACTTGACTACGGAAGCTTTTCTCATGACTCTGAAAAGATTTATAGCACGCCGAGGCAAACCAACAATATTATTCAGCGATAATGCTACTAATTTTCGGGGTGCAAATAAAAATCTTCACGAGCTATACAAGCTTTTTAATTCGTCTGATAAAAATGACACTATCCAAGACTATATTTCTGATGAAGAAATTAAATGGAATTTCATTCCTCCAAATATTCCGCATTGGAAAGGCCTTTGGGAGGCAGGTATAAAATCGACAAAATACCATTTACGCAGAGTAATAGGAAATACACTCTTGAGGTTTGAACAACTATCAACAATTTTGGCTGAAATTGAAAGTATTTTAAATGCAGTGTTCAAAAAAGGTGATAGGTCGAACTTAGATAACTATAGACCAATTAGCCTCCTCAGCATTTTTTCGAAAATTCTGGAGAGATTCATATATAACAGACTCTTGAAATTTCTGAACAAACACAACATACTGGCCAAATCGCAACATGGTTTCAGGGCCGACAGATCGACTGAAACTGCAACTTCACTTTTCGCGGATTTTATTCATAAAAATATTGACCATAGGAAATTTGTAGCGGGTATATTCTTCGACTTGTCAAAAGCTTTTGACTCTATTGACAAACATTTTATGGCATCTAAATTGTATAATCTTGGTTTCAGAGGGAATGTCTTATCTTTAATCATCTCATTCTTATCAAACAGAAAATTATACGTTACCTTGGATGGGGCAGAATCTGAAAAATTTTCCATAAATGTTGGTGTAGCTCAGGGATCAATCCTTGGCCCACTCATTTTCCTACTATTTCTCAACGACCTACCATCCAACATAAGCAAACAATTCTATTTAATCAACTTTGCTGATGATACAACTCTGGGTATAGCTGAATCCACTGTGGGGGGCATGATCCAAGCCATCAAATTAGGAATTAAAGAAATGTCATCATACTGCAACTCCAATAAATTAATATTGAATGCTCAAAAAACCAAAATTATCTTGTTCAACAGAAATATCGAAATACCCAATGAATTACCTAATATACACCACTCAACTAAGTTTCTTGGTGTAACAATAGATGGCACACTCGCATGGGACGAACACATTGAGCTAACGTCAAAAAAATTATCCAAATCATATTTTGCAATCATGCAACTGAGATATGAGCTACATGAAAGTATTTTAATCCAGGTATACTATGCACTAGTCTATTCTGCCTTATCATTTCATATCACACTATGGGGAAATGCAACAGGGGTTAACAGAATATTCATAGCACAAAAAAGGATTGTTAGGCTGATGTTTAGTATGAAACCACGTGACTCATGTAGAGAAATTTTCAAAGCAAAAAAAATGTTGACTTTCTACTCCATTTTCATTTTCAAGAGTTGTTTATATGTCAGAAAAAACATACAGAAACTAGAAAAAAATAATAACTACCATCAATACCATACAAGAAACGGGACTAATCTAATAACCACTGCCCACAGAACAACAACTTTTGAAAAATCTCCAACATATGCAAGTTGCAAAATATATAATAAGCTCCCGAACAATATCAAGAGTTGCCAACCTTTAAATAAGTTCAAAAAGAAACTGAAAATGCTACTATTCTCAAAAGCTTACTATTCATTACAAGAATACTTCGATGATCCTGACATGACTGAAACAACTAGTTATGACATATAAGTATCCCAGTATAATCTATGCTTTTTTTTTTTTTTTTTTAAATCTCCCTGTCGTCTCTAATGGTCCCCATATATCATATTCTCAACAATTTATGAAATGTGCGTCCCCCTTGTAATTGTTCAAACAATGTATGATCTATGTGCTATGTACAATTGTATATGTTTATATACTATTTATTAATTTAGAAGTATTACCCATTGTCTACTTATATATGTATTTATAAATACATATATAAATATATCATACACAACTGTTGACATGTCCTATACCATGTATTTGGTCACGGATTAATAAATATTATCTTATCTTATCTTATCTATCTTATCTTATCTTAAATTCACGCCCCCTGTGTCCCATATCATCAGATCCGAATGATCTGACCTGTCTCACTCCAGCGCATTTTCTATTGGGTTCATCAGCATCATCTCTTCCTGAGCTGAAAGTAACTCAGATCTCAGAAAATAGATTGAATCTATGGCAGCACTGTTCTCAAATAAAACAACATTTCTGGCAACGATGGTCTACCGAGTATTTGAACCAATTACAAAATCGTCCAAAATGGTTCAGATCTGTCGGGAATTTAAAAGAAAATATGATGGTTCTGGTGAAAGAGGATAATGTTCCACCCCTTAACTGGCTGCTAGCTAGAGTGATAGAAGTTATGCCTGGTACTGATGAAAGGGTCAGAGTAGTTAAAATCCGAACTAGTAAGGGTATTTTTACTCGGCCAATTTCAAAACTATGCCCACTACCATTTGAATCTCCTTGAAGTAATTCACTTCAACGGGGGGGAATATGTTGAGGTGCAACATTTTATTATTGTTTCATATTTATTATGTTACTTCTTCGAAGTTACCTCTGCATCAGAGCAGTGCGTTCCGTCGATGTTTCAATGTTTCTATAAAAAAAAAAATTAATCAATGTCTGTCGACATGAAAAAATATGTCATATAAAATCTAGTTTTATATTAAGTATTTGTATAGTTGTATATTCGCACGAATTAAATTAGAATATACCTACATAAAGACAGTCTCTCTCGCAAGTATTCCTTAACCCCACAATTGGAATCAAGCAAACTCTCGAAAATCTCAATCAAGATATTATACAGTCCACTCTCCGCTCATTCACGCTCATTCAAGAAAAGGGCACAGTCCCCAACAAAAGCAATGCATTGAGAATTCGCATTCTCTATGTGATGAGAATATCAACTCTTTTTCAGTTTATTCAATAGAAAACAACTACTTTCCTGGCTATATGCCACGACGAACATTGAATTATATCTATTGAGCACACACGATAAGAGTTTGGAAATAAAATATAAAATTTTCTGAAATTGAGAATTTGTATTCTTCTTCAGACAAAAATATGTATATGCACACATTATTCTGAATATTCAACAGAAAACAACTACTTTCCTGGCTATTTGCCACGTCGAACATTGAATTATATCTGATGAACATCCAAAAGGAGAACATGAAAATTAAAAAATAAAATCCTCCGAAATTGAGAATTGACATTCTTTCTCAAATCGGATGAATAATATGATGTATAATGATATAGAAATATAACTTACCAATATATTCAGCATTGCTTTATATAAATATATATCCATTTTTGTATGTTCATAATTTATCTGAGAATATTCCTTTTCAACACTTTCATAACCAATCAGGGGGTTCAAACTAGAACGATGGAAACTTGTGATTTTTATAGACCACTAATCGCAGATTCGTGATAGAGTCTCAATTCAGAATTTCTTTCCACGCCCTGTCTGATGAATGTCAATTTATCCACCCAAAAGCAGTTTAGTTTATGTTGTATAAAAAGGTGATCTATACATGTTTTGGATTGTTCTTGGACTCTAGTGGGCTTGTTAATAGCAGAAATAAAACCGTGCTCGCCCAGAATGTCTAAGTATTCTTCTGTTCCACTGGTTGGTTGCAGAATATCAAAATTGATATCTCCTACGAGAACATGAACATTGTTATCAGATTTCGGAAATTATTTGAAGTAGTTCTCTGAACTGGTATTGAATTCGACTATATTGGTTGATGGGGGTCTGTAAAGATCAACGCCTCTTTGTCCTCGAATTGTGTTTTTATTTCAATGGTTCTAACGACACCTATATTCACAATTTCATGTTGGTAAGTGGTTCCTTTCTTTATGTATACAATAGTTCCGTCATTGTGATTTATACAGCCTTCATTATATATTAAATCAAATCCATCAATTTGGTGAAGTGGGAGACATTGTATTTGCCTTGTTTCTGACATTATAATGAAATCTAACTCAGTGCTTATTTGACTTGAAATTATTTTCATTTCATCGAGGTTTTTATTTACACTTCTTATGTTACAATGAAAAATCGAAATATTTTCATTTGGCGTACCATTTAACATATTTTCGATCACTTCCACCTCATCGGTTGTTTTTGTTTCAATTGTTCTGACATAGAAGTCCCTAATATATTTATCCATTGTTGATGATTATTGATTGGAGATTATAGTAGTAAAAAGTGGATATCAGTCAATATTGACATTTTATTTTCTGAGGTACCTGTGAGTCCTGGTGGGGACTATGTTCTTCTTTGTAGTTTCCGAAACTGAATTGGTTTTTATTAGTCTTCGTGTTTTCCGTATTTCTCGCTCTTGGGTTGCTTCTGTTAGTTCTTCTGTTTTTTCATTTTCCCCGTTTATTTTTCCTGGTATCTCTATTGATAGTTCCTCTTCTTCAATATCTATCTCTTTGGGCGAGGGGGTGAAGGGAGGGCTAGAAACTTTTCTTTCGGGTGGTTCAAAATAGTCGTTTGTATCGTGTTGTTTATTACTGATATCTTCTACTGTGAGCTGATCTCCTTCTACTATTAGGAAGTTTCCTTTGATGTATGCTTTTTTATTATTATTTCTGGCTTCTTTCGAACCCAATAAGAGAACTTTTCTATCACGAAGCTCTTCCTGATTCAGATCTTCACTAATGACTATTCTAGATCCCTTAAGTTTTGAACAATTGCGCAGTATCTCTACTTTCTTCAGATTTGAAATCAACGATACTAAAATTGGTCTCGTACGTTGAGTGTTCCTACCCAATCTGAAAATATTATTGATATTTTCCTCGGTAACACTGACTTGTAGTTTGGTATTGATTATATTGATAAAGAATTCAAGCAGGACCTCTTGTCTTTCTTCCGTTCCTTCAAGTTCTTCCTTTATGCCATACAACACCACACCTTTTTATTAGTATTTTCAGGTTCTTGTTTTCATTTTCCAAGTATTGAATATGTTCTTTAAGATTTTCTACTTGTATCTGAGTACCTTGGAGGAATTCTTCAGTTTTCTTCTCGACCTTTTCGATTCTATCGCTCAAATTTGTATTTACCGTTTCGAGGAGTTTGTAGATATCGTTGAGTGTTATTTCTTTTTGATCCATTATTAGTTTACGTATCACCCTCGTATATAAAGATCGGAGATCGGCACACCTGCGGATTTGATGCCGCTGAGTAAAAAAAAAGTGATAAACTTTTTGTCAATGTTCAGAATTTGGAAGAGTCTTTCGTTCGAATTCAGCTGTAAATCACAGCTATTACACAGTTATGTGAAGTATTCATCAATTCACATTTCACAGTTCAACGTAACACATTTCGACGATCACTTTGATATAATTTTCACTTTTCAAATCTAACTCTTTCCCATTGAAATGTTACACTTTTTCGCAGTCGAACGCAGAGCCGGAACTAGGATTCTAGCGCCTGTGGCAAACTTTCAAAAGGCGCCCTTGAAGAAATTCAGTTTTCAATAAATACAAGTTATTTATAATTGAAATTTATTGAACATGTTTTGAAGAACTTTTTCATTCACAATAATCTCCCATATTTCTTAAAAGGTGATGAACAAAAACTCAATGGAGGACCTTAAGTAAGTTTTCACTAATTTCAATTTACTAAACGACCCTTCACATGTTGCTGTGGTCGCTGGTTATGTTAAGAATATTCTGAGAGCTGTGTCCAGATTAGGATATATTGTTTGAAGCGACAATTCACGCATTTTCCGAAGAATATCAAGAGCATTAATTTTGTCCAAGTCCGTAAACATTGCACATGCTTGAAATTTGAAGCTCTCTAATTCGCATACGGATCTAAATCGAAACTATATTTCAATGCCAAATCCGCAGCTTGCTTCTTCAATTCACCAAGTGAAGACTCTTCCATAGATATTCCTTTCAAAAAATTGAAGTCTTCAGAAACTTCTGACATCGCAGTAAATCTTTCTCCAAGTTGCATCGATATGGAGTCCAATACTTGAAGGAGTTCCTCTTTCAAAAGACTTGTCCTATCCGTAATGGAACCCTCATCATTAGTTTCTTCTCCTGGCATTTTTTCAATTTCACGTTTCCTCTCCTCTCTAAAATTCCCTCCAATATTGATTGTTTCAGCGAATGATTTGGAGGATTCTGATAGAGACTCGAAGAAATCAGATCGATAATTATGAATTTAATCAGATAGTCCTTTTATCATTTTTGCACCATCCTCAACATTTAATCTTTGATTCTGTAGTGCCAGATTGATTTTGTCGTGTTTCGCGCCATGTATCATTTTCTAGGATTTTGTTTCGTTTTGGTAGAGTTCGTTAACTACTTGTTACTCAACTTTGTGAACTGGTAAATACGCCACTCTGAAATATAGAGCTTGTAGTCAATCTTTATTTAAAATGGAATATACTATATTCCACATTTTGCGCCCCTAGTCGTTTGCGCCCGTGGCAAATGCCTCCTTCGCCACGCCCACGGTCCGGCTCTGGTCGAACGAAACTGCTCCGAGTATGATAAAAATCAATTGTATGATATGACACATTATATAAAAGAGATGTTCAACATACGTAGTTGAGTTTACAACTGATTTTAGAACGGCTCTTGCTTGGTACATGACGATCTTGCTGATTTTATGGAAACGGTGGATTCAGGGAATCCACACTGTGGGAACAGCAATGTCAGCATCTTCTTGTGGGAATCTATGTTTAGTGACGACATGAGTCATCGTCAAATGTCGTTTTCTGTGGAGGAGTTGTTTCATTAGTGTAAAAATGCCTGTTCCTCAAAACCATACTCCATCTAGTATATGCGCCTGTCACTTCAATTTCTGTCGGGTCGTGTTCGATTGTTGGATATTGTTCACGTGTAAATTAGCGAGATGAGCCGGTTTAAGAAAATTTCGTCTGAAGAAACCATAGAAAATATGGAAAAAATAATTCCGCGAACTACAAGGAACACGAAATCATCAATGAAGGTGATTATTATTGTTGTTCATTTGTATACTGGTCGTTGATTTATCTTACCAAAACTCACTCGAACTTTATTTTTAATTGGATGCATTTTCTCAATTAATCAAAAATGTATCCGATAAAGAAGCTCTTGTTTTTTTACTGTTGATGAAACTGTCGGCGTTTATAACGTCAGTAATAATTAGTATTCGAGTTTAACGACACGGATTCCTGTATTATCATTTCGAGTCAGATTCAATCATGAAATAGTCATAGGAATACAACTCGAGATAGGTACTCTTTTCATGGAAATATCCGTAGATTGATATACTCTAGCTTGCAACTTCAATTTCGCTCATGACGTTCAGAAACTTCTCGTCTACGGCTATCAAGTTTTGATAAACGTCATTCGCGAGATTACTAGGCAATTATCAAGCTGTCGTAACAATCGCTGAATATATCTAGCAAAATAGTATCACTTGTGGTATTACATATGACTATACATCAGACATTTTTATTGGAGGGTCTCTATTTTTAATTAACATTTCCTTTGCTCAGATAATTATCCCGAATCAAACATCCAAATTCCAATTCGCTTCTTATCAGATATATGTACCATACCTACCTCCTTCTTCTTTCCTCTCTAGGTTCTTCGAACAGAATAGGGATTCGCTATCGTGCACTCCAAAGATATGCAAAAAAAACATTAAATTCAACGAAATTCAAGTGTTGATCGAGCGTAAATAAGGCGTTTTTGGCAAACCAGGTAACGGATAAATCTGAAAATTCGATGGTATGTATGAATTAGATGATCTGAAATATTTCGGACGATGCGGTGCCGCTTTCTCTAGAAACTAGCAGGAAATTTGATTTTCCAAACAGATATCAACTATGTATCAATCTATGATTTCTCACCACTTATCAAACAACGTCATATAATTTTTTTCTATACCTAACTGATACTGTTTCGACTATAAAAATCAATTTCGATTCTATCATCTACTTCAATAAACGTTAGTAATTTCGAACTTCCTAGTGCTAAAGAAGTTGAAATTTGAAATTAAGTGTGATAGTTTGGGGATCTCCACCTCAGAGTAAGATTATTTTAACCTCAAATACAGAGTGGTTGGAAAAATGCAGATATAAGTTCTTATATGAATACTCGCTCGGTTGTGAACATGAAGAAATGGGACTGAATATTCTGTGGGGTACATTCATGAAATATACCCAACTAAATATTCTGTGCGGTATATTCATGAAATATTCTCAACTGAATATTCTGTGGTGTATATTCATGAAATATTCCATGAATATTCCTATGTTTCTCAACACATAAATACCATTTATTATTTCAGAGATGTGAGTATCGAACATCAATTAGATGTAAGGAGATTTTGAAACAAAAAGTGTTTATGATCCGATTTCGAACAATGCTCTCACAAGAACTTGACATTTTGTACACTCTAAACAGTGTTGACAATCGATATAAAGAGCAATACAAACTAGTTAAAAAAAGGTACAATCAACTTTTGATACAATCTCGATCAAAAAACTATGAAAATCGAATAAAAAGTAGTGATAACAAATCAAAATGTGTTTGGAACATTGTAAATGAAATACAAGGTAAAACCAGGGTGGATCGTGAGTTGAAGATTGATGGTGATCCTGAGGAAATAGCAGAGAATTTGAATGAATTCATGGTAAACTGTGCACCACAACTAGTTTCAAAATTACACCAAAAACCTTATACATCTAATTTAAACTACAACAATAGTTCAATGTTTGTTAAACCTGTTACAAAAGAAGAACTTTCGGATATTGCAAAAAAATTGAAGAATAAATTCAGTAGTGGAGACGACGGAGTTCCCACTCATATAATTAAATATAGTATTCCCATGGTCTTGGAACCACTATGTTACATAATCAACAATTCTCTCAAATATGGTATTTTCCCAGAAAGGTTAAAAATAGCTCTTGTTATACCACTTCACAAGAAAGGTGAAGTAGATAATTTTGAAAATTATAGACCAATTAGTCTTTTACCAGCTTTTTCAAAGTTATTTGAGATGGTGATGTGTAATCGATTAATAGATTTCATGAGCCATACAAATAAGCTTAATAACATGCAGCATGGATATTTGCAAGGTAAATCGACTTTGACTGCAATATACACTTTCACTCAGAAAATCATTGAAGCTTTGGAGGATGACGAATTGATCCTAGGGTTATTTTTGGATTTGTCTAAAGCATATGATACACTAGATCATACAATAATGCTAAATAAATTAGAACAATATGGAGTGAGAGGAAATGCTTTATTGTGGTTTGAGTCCTACCTTTCAAATAGACAACAAAAAGTTTCATTAATGAAAAATAATCTGGAAATAAGATCTAACATGAAATCTATTAAAATGGGCATCCCTCAAGGAAGCATCACTGGACCAATCTTATTCATAATTTACGTAAATGATCTTGCTGATATTGCAGCAACAGTTGAAAATAGTTCTCTTACCATGTACGCAGATGATGCGAATTTCCAACTATATGATCCACTTTATCCCGGTTTAATTGAATCCGCAGAATTAGTTTTAACAGCAGCCAATGAGTACTTTGATAAAAATAGACTGATACTTAATAAAGAAAAAACGAGTTGTATATTGTTTAAAACAACACATGCACGATTTCAAACACCTGAAAGTATAGACATAAATAATAGAAAGTATGATAAAATAACATCAACCAAATTTCTAGGTGTTGTTATAGACGAAAATTTGAAATGGAATTATCATATTGAGAAACTATGTAATAAACTGAATAGTGTGACCTATAGTTTGAGAATTATGGCAAAATATCTGAACAACCCAACATTGAAGATTGTGTATCATGCACATTTTGAAGCAGTGTTAAGATATGGGATTATTTTTTTCGGTAGCAGTGGTGAATTCAAAAAGTTATTCACAATCCAGAAACGAGCTGTTAGAATAATATCAAATTTGGATTTTTTGGAATCGTGTAGAGGAAAATTTGAACAAAATAGAATTCTAACAGCTAGTGCAATATTCATACAAGAGTGTTTACTATTCTTATTTAAAAATAAACATTTTTTCAATGATTGTCTTTCACAACATACATATAATACTAGATCCGTAATTTATAACTATCCAGCACACAGAC